GGAGAGGCACAGCAGTAGGGATGCCTTTGCAAACCCCCCCCCCTCCGGAGATGGTACTGGTGGGGGAAACCAGCTTTTAAGCCAGCTCCCCCCAGCACCCGTTCCTGCTCCCCCCTCTTTGCTGCCTCTCTCTGACAGAGCAAGGGAGGGGGGAAGTGACTAGACGAGTAACTACTCGACTATCCAATAAGCTTATGCTTATCAGGTAGTCAACTAGTCACTTCTATCCTTTGCCGGGGTGGGAAAAAGTCTGTGGGCCAAACCCGGCCCACCAAGCCACTGGATTCGGCCCTGCTGGGACCCTCAGGCACGCAAAAGCTGCTGTTTTAAACGCAGGGCTTCTCCTTGAGCCTCTCTGCCCTGGAGGAGGGAGAGGCTTCTTGTGATCTCCCTGCCCCCAGCCCAATCCTCAGCTCTTATTGGCCGGAAACTGGCCAATAGGAACTGACCCCGCTAATCTCTCAGTTCCTAGAGGCCAGAAACAATCGGCCAATAGGAGCTGAGAGATTGGCCCAAGCAGGGGAGAGGGGGGCAGCACATGCCTCTCCCACCTCCCAGAGAGGAGAGCCACATAGAGGAAGCAGCTGCAGTTTTACATAGTCTGGGGCTACAACAGGCATGGAGCCCAGCCTGCTTTGGGGGCGCTGAAGGGCTGCTGGCCAGGGGGTGCTGCAAGGCTGCTGGCCAGGGGGTGCTTAGGTAAGAGCCTTCCAGCCAGAGCCTGACTGGCACCTCTGCCCCTCCTACACCCCAACTCCCTCCCCCAGGGAACCATCCAAACCCTTTGCACGCCCCTGCTCCAGGTCACCACTCCTTCCCAGACCCTGTACCCCGTCCCTCCATCCATGCCCCAGGCAAGAATCCTCTCCTGTACTCAAACCCCCTCCCAGACCCTGCATCCAAATCCCCTTCTCCAGGTCACAACTCCCTCCTTCCTCCAAACTCCTCCTCAGACCTCACATCGTCTCCTGCACCCCAGTCCCTTACCCTGTGCGCCCTTCTGTACTCAATCTCCATCCTAGTCCCCACATTGCCTCCACAGAAAAGCGTGGCCCTTGACCACATCTCCAAAAACTTGGAGTGTCCCCCCCTGTCCTAAGCCAGGCCTCACTCCCTAGAGTGGCACTATCTGGCCCTTGTTGCCATGCCTGTTCAAGTGCCACAACTAACCCACACCTGGCACATACCAGACAGCAAGCAAGACCCAATGCCACAGCAGGAACCCCTGGTTTCCTTAGCCATCAGCAGAAGACACACAAATGGAAGGAATGCATTAGTGGTGCCCCTGCCAGGAACAAGCCTGAGTATTGACTACAGACGCCTCCATGCTTAGGGCATCTAGCAACAATGCACGGAGATCCAAAAGCTGCTATCCACCCAAGTACCAGACTGCTCCGGCTCAGTCTGGCAGAACAGTTCAGGCCCTTTCCTACTCGGCTCTGAGTCAAAGCAGTGATGTGCTAATAAGCTTGTGCTGTGAGCTGGGACTGAATGACAGATGCCGACGGGGCACAATTTTTATCTGCAATCACAGCAGTTTGCTAAGCCCAGAACCTGGCTTGTTCCTAGCAGCTGCTGCCCCACTCACTGGTGCCACTGTTTGTAATTGCATGGCTGGGGGAGTGTGTGGAGGGGGGAAGGGGGGAGAATATTTGCTGCCCGTGAGGAGGTACAGCCAGGATTCCAACGCTCTTTAGAGCACTTCTGCTCTGAAGAGTCCATGTTTTCTTGAGTGGTTCCCAGTGACCCATGCTTAAACTACAGGATAAACAATGTTGTAGCTCTGAACACAGCTCTGCTAAACTGCCTCTGAAAGGGAACCCACTGACAGATTATAGGGGTGTTAGGCAGATGTGAGCAATTTGGTTAGCAGGTGACTGGATGGAGCTAGAAATTTACCAAACATAACGGATTCAAATCCCTGGCTGGAGATACTGCCAGGTAAGTCTCTCAGTGTAGTTCTCAATTACTAGCAGATATGCAACCCTGAATATTTGACTTTTCCCCATTGAAGTTGCATGTCACTACTCAACTACATTACCAGGTCAGTTTCTCTCCCCAAGCTCCAGGCACTGGCCCAGCACAGTCCTGTTTGGATTGCCAACGACAACAAGATAGCTTAAATACATCCCTCAAGACAGGAAGCTTGTGGGGAAATAAAGCTGAAGGCATTTGATTTCCCAGGCTGAGGTTAGGTGATCTAGTGAACAGGACAATGGATCAGGGGTCAGAAGACCTAAGTTCTATTCCCAGCTCTCACTGTGTGAACCTGGGTTAGTCATTTCTTCTCTGGACACTAGTTTCTTTGTCTGGAAAATGGAGCGAATGATATTTCTGCTATTTTCTGAAGCACTCTTAAGATTCCCAGAGGGAGAGGGTTAAGTGATGGAAATCTTACAGTTAGGAGGTTGGCTGGAAAGGTAGGGTAATACTACACAATTCTAAGTCAACATTCTAGCTATGTAGCAGGATCTATCCTACACAGCCAGAAGTACCCCTGTCCCTAAACAGCCTGAGGGCCTGCTTTAAACGGGATACAAGTCTTTCACATCTCAGTCCCTAGAGAAAGAAGGTGCAGGAAACAGGGCCAAAGACTTTAAGTTGTCCTCTACCAGTGATTTACAAGCTTCAGAGGATTTCTGGACACTGCCACCATGATCAACTGAGAAGTACTTGATTTTTCTTTTATCCGGGGCACAGGAAGAGAACAGCCTGAGGGCCTGCTTTAAACGGGATACAAGTCTTTCACATCTCAGTCCCTAGAGAAAGAAGGTGCAGGAAACAGGGCCAAAGACTTTAAGTTGTCCTCTACCAGTGATTTACAAGCTTCAGAGGATTTCTGGACACTGCCACCATGATCAACTGAGAAGTACTTGATTTTTCTTTTATCCGGGGCACAGGAAGAGAAGGAAT